GTGATGTGGGAGCCACAGGTGGAGAGAGCTTTCCGCCTCCCTTCTTGACTCAGGTTCTTCAGAGAGTGGAAGATGACAGCATAAGACATGAGTAAGAGCAGAAACACAATAGAGCACATCAGTCCCCCATTGGCAATCACTAAGAGGCCAGTGACATAGGTGTCAACACAGACAAGTTGCAATAAGGGGTACATGTCACACATAAAGTGGTCAATGACATTGGGGCCACAGAATGGGAGCCCATAAATAGTGACAAGCTGAATTACTGAATGCAGAAAACCTCCAGCCCAGGAAACTACCAGCAGCATAACACACACCCATGGCTTCATGATAACCAAATAATGCAAGGGCTTACAGATGGCCACATAACGATCATAAGCCATCACCAAAAGAAGACAGATCTCTGACCCACCTAGAAGGTGTTCTGCAAAGAGCTGTAACATGCAAAACTTGAAAGATATGATAACTTCTCCTAAGAACAAATTTGAAATCAATTTTGGGGAAATAATTGATGAATAAATGATATCCAAAAATGATAAGTTAGCAAGAAAGAAGTACAATGGAGAGTCCAGGGTCTTACTGAAGGTTACAGTTAGGACAATGAGCAGGTTCCCTAGCATGGTCAAAATGTAAAATAACAGGAATATAACAAAAAGTACTTTCTGTTCCTTTGGATTTTGTGTGAGGCCCAAGAGGACAAAGTAAGTTACATTGTTCCTATGTTCCATCTGTTCTTTCATTGATGCAGATTTCAGAGAATAAAGTAGTTTACCTGTAAAATAATGAAAAAAATCCTCAGACACATAATAGCACTTTTATTCATCTACCATATATGTTCTAAGGCTCCACTAGTGTCAGACTACCTGTAGTAGATACGTGGATTACCAAGTAAAATAATACAAGGTTTACTTCCCTAAGTGATTTGATATGTAACTATGTGATTCAACAAGATCAAATTGAGTAATGTGCTGATAAAATATTTATTGATTCCATGCTATAGATTCACAGTGCTTCAATTCTAAACCTGTTGAGATTTGGAAAATTGTTGCAGAGAAAGTTACTATTCAGATGTGTTTTAAAGTGTGAAATAAGTAGAAGGATCGAAAGTTGCATTATGTATAAAAGTTATAGAGTGTAATAGTGAAGACTCTCAATAATTTTCATATGAAGAATGGATAAAATCAGTTACTAATGGAAGACTATAAACCACCATCACTGTATCAATATTGGTACTGAGACTTTAGAAAATGCTGCCCTTCCTACACTTTCCTTGGCCCTCAGGTCCATTGGAAATGTCACCCCTAAGCATCTTTCCATTCATATTTCCAGGAACATTGTGCTCACAGTGATGTCTCTGTTCTTCAAAGGACATCCCATCTCCACTGCTCTCCTCTTTCCTTGTTGAGCCCTCTCCAGCATCACCTATCTGTGTTCACGTTTCTACCCACCTACTCTTCCAGACCATCTGGGCTCTTTCTATGATGATTCTCAAACATCTCCAAACATGTATCCATTAATCACACAAAGCTGAGTTTTTTTATATTAGACATTTATTGCAGGAGCACCCACTTCCTGGCACCAAAACTATCTTCATCTGCTAGAGCTACTGTGTTTTTGAAGATGAATGTGTTGTCTCAGAGCCTTGCTGCTAGACATTCAAAATAAAGGTATGGACAGAGGTGGATCCCTCAGAAGACCATGAGGGAAAGTCCAGCTCTGTCCTTCACTTGAAGATGTCCAGCTTATGTTCATGTGTCATTCTCCCTGCATCCAAATTATCTCTTCCAATAGAATACCAGTTACATGGGATTGAAACACAACCTAATACAATTTTATAACTGATGACCTTTATAAACTCCCTATTTCCAAACAAAGCTGTGGTACTTTAAGTAGGTAGGACCTCAACATATAAATTATATGGTAGGACAAAATAAAACCATGATAATTTCATATGAGAAACTGAAAAAAAAACAGTAATTACCACATTCTCAGCTTGCCAAATCCCTGAAATCTGGAGTCTTTGGTTGAATATTCTATGTTATCCTAACCTATAAATACCTAAAACACTTTGTATATCTTCAACATTATCACATCTCCTAGTTTTCAAGCTAGTATCTGCAACTATTTCATTGACTTGTTCACTTAGATATCCTTTTAGTATTTATAAAAGTAAATATTTTATTTTTCACAATAATTCTAGACTTTGTCTAGATTAATTTCTAGATTTTGCTAATTAAAGGGTACTTCTTTCTGTCTTATCCTTTAGGTCAAATTCTGACAGTGTTCAACCTTCCTTTATTCTTCTTACATTGCTTATTCATACATTTATTAAGTCCTCTTGGCTTTGTATTTATAACATCTTCTAAATGTGAACATTCTCATTCCATCCCTTTACATCCCCTGTCAACTGCAAGAGCCACCTGCCACATCTACCATTTGCTCTTGGACAGACGCGAATCTCAGAGACCAGAAGCAGACATCACAAATTTGGAAGTAACAGTGATTATTGTACAAAAGTGTGTGATACATTCTGTCTTTTCATTTTTCATAGAACGCTATATCCAGTCACACTGTTCACATGAGGTGAACTTCCAGCCATCACTCAGTGTCCACTAGCTCAATAAGGCTCAGGGTCCACACTAGATTCATGTCATTACAGCAAAGAAATGTCCATGCTGAATGAGGAATCAGCTTTTTGCCTTGGGCCTTCTACTTTCCCAAATGGAAGCAAAAGTATTGAAAATATAACATGGCTTCTAACATAAATTTTCATTTTTTGAATATATTTGTGGTGATCTTATACAATCTGAATAGCCACTTTCTGCCTCTAGAGGTTTTTATCCACATTTTCTTACATACTCAAGAGATATATTTCCTGTGTAATGAAATATTCACACAATCTCCAAGTTTGATTTCTGCTACTCACTATAAAGTTTTACCTTTGGGAGTTTGTCTACAATTTGAAGGAGGAAATTTTGTCTCACTCAGAAATATTGAGTAGTCCCTCTTCCATCCAGCATGAACACAGAAAAATAAAAGCTTTCTTATTCTTGGAAAATACACTTAAAATCACACAATCATATTTATGCATTTTCTCTCCAGTGAAAATAATGAGCAATTGTGGTAGTGTTCAAAGGAATTAAATTAAAATTTTCATATTAAGATGCTTAACTTAAAAATGCAAACAAATAATTTCAACATAGGAATATCATATCTAGAATTTAAAAAAAGTTTTATAGGTCTTTTCTGGTAACTTTAATAAATACCATTCAGCTTTTTAATCTGTCTCCTCTTGTCCTGGTAATGCCAAACACTTGTGCTTCATATATGGATGGAGTATTCTTGAGCCTTTTCAAATGCTTAAGAATAATGAGCCATGTTTTTTTTTTTTTTTTAAATTATAACTGTTACTAAGAGAACGTTGCTTTCACCTAGCAGGGACGAAGATCACTAAAGATATTATACCATAGACACGTTAATTATGAATCCCTGAAACTGGAACATGTCCAAGCTGATTCTTGCTTAATTACACTCCCTGGGGATCTCCATATACTCTTAAAATAACATTTATGTGTCAAGATGCAATACAGAAAACACCTAACTAGAGTAACAAGGATATAACCAGGAAAAAGAGTTTCAGAAACATTATGGCAAGGATAATTAAGATAAAATATCATTCCCATTAGTTTATTTCAATGAGATTGAATTTATCACTTACTCCTTTTCTGTGCCAGAGCAAAATTTTCAATTTTTCTTTATAGAATTTTCATTTGTCTCCCTATGAGTTTGAGATTAAATGTATTTAAAAGATTTACGCAGCTGTAGCAACTAGTTATTTATACACTTATTCTATTTATTCTTTGTTTTTCTACAAAATTAAAGAGCATCTATTTGACTATTTGGTTTCAGATAACCTGACATTAGATGATGATAAAATAGTTAATAAAACATAAGAAAGAATACAAATGTAATCCTAATTGCATCAGCTTTACATCTTCTAGTAGAGCCACAAAATAATAGTAACTAAAAATAGGAGCTTCAATCTCTGATTGGATAATAGGTTATTGTGACAGAAAAAAAGTGAATGACACAATTTTGAATAAAGTGATTGGACAAGGCCTTTTTAAATGTGATATTTAAACTAAAGTCCAAGGATGAGAAGTCAGTTGCCCCTATGGGTACGTGGTCACTTGTGGGAAGATGCAATGTGGAAGAGAGCTGGGCGATTTCAATGCTGTGCTGTCATTTAAACTGAAGGGAGGAAGACAGGGAGAGGACAGAACAATGTGAAGTTTTTAAGATATGAGCAAGAGCCAAAGCCTGGAGTGACATCACAGGTCTCATTAAGGAATCTGGACTACTTTTAAAGCTCTTTTCAAATGAGAGTAAAGAGAACTTCCTGTTCAACAAAAATTCTCAACAATCAGCAAACCAAATCCAGCAAAGTGGAAGAAGAATTGCACATCATGACTAACTGAAATTATTTCAGATAAACAAGCCTGGTTCAATATTAAAAATTCAATTAAACTATTCCATCATAACATAGGATAAAAAAAGAAAAATCACAGGATTATATCAATATTTACAGAAAAGATATTTAATAAAATTCTAACACCTTCACTATAAGGACATTCTGTAAACTATGGATAGAAGAAAAGTTTCCAAAGTTCAAAAAAGAGCATTTTCAAAGCAAAGAAAATCTGGCATCATCTTTAATAGTGAGAGTCTAGGAGCTTTCCTGGTGAGGTCAGTTTTAGTCAGCTTTTGTGTTGCTATAACCAAACCTATGTCTTCCTATCACACCCTACCTGTCTAGAGTTATTGCCCAGTTACTCCATGTCAATGGATTATTCCACTGATTATATCAAGACTCCCATGAACTAATCATTGCACCTCCTAATATTCTTGCATTGTCTTACACAGGAGATTGGGCAGGACACCTCATATCTAAACCATCGCAATCAGGAACAAGGGAAGGATGTTCCTCTTAACTGCTTTTCAACATTATACTCAAGTCCCAGCCAATACAATAAGACAAGGGAAAATAGTTATGCTAATTAGAAGAATAAAACTTTCCTTCTTTGCTGTTGACATCATCTATGCAGAAAATCCCAAATAATTCTATAAATGATTAGTGTAAAGCTGAAATACAAAAGGATAATGTGCAGATATCAATGACTTTCCTGTATGTCAGCAATGCACAAGTGAAAGTTGACTTAAAAACACTGTATCACTTACTCTAGTACTCTCCAAAATGGAATGCTTAGGTATAGTCTTAATAAAATATGTACAAGATCTCTCTGAGGGCAATTACAATGGTATGTGAAAACACATCTCCTGCTCATACACATTGTCAAGGTAAATTATCCCAAGATTGGTCTTTTCTACAATCAAAATCTTATGACCTTGTTTTATAGATGTTGACAAGCTAATTATAAAGTTTACATTCTGAGGCAAAGATACCAAAGGGGCAGCACCATGCCAAGGGTGGTGTTTTTTGAAGAAAAAAATTGGACCGTGAACACTACCTGAGATCAAGATTTGTCACAAAGCTATGTAATCAAGACATTCAGTGTTGGTTAAAGAGAATAGAAGGTGATCTCAGAGGAGACAAATTTTGCCCATTTTAGAAGACAGGTTGACAGTTTTTCATGTACTAATGCTCTTTCTATGCAATCAAGCAATTGGGCTCCCTGGTATCCATCCAAATGAGCCAAAAGCTTATGCTCACACAGAACCATGCACAAGTGTTGTGTTTTGTCTTCTTTGTTTGTAATTGCCAGAACTCAGAAGCAAGAAAGATGGCATTTAGAGGCTCAACAATAAGGTAAGGACCATTATACAAAAAATATTATTTGTAACTTTAGTTTATTTATTTAGTTTATTTTAATAAATTCAGATACTGAGCCATGGAAAGACCTAGAGAAAACTCAAAAGTATATTACCAAGTGAAGAAACCGGTCTAAAAAGTTGTGTGGTTGCAACTGTATGACTTTCAGAAAAGTCCAAAATTGTGAAAAAAAAGTAAAAATTTTAGTAGTTATGAAGCATACAGGATTTTTAATTCAGTCAATTTCATCTGTATGATGTTTAAGAACATCATTACATGTTCTTCCAAAACTTTAGAAAGTACAACTCTGAAAACCAAGACAGGAAAATGTAAACTGGGAATCTTGGATGATATCATTGTTGATTAATGAATTGTAAAAGGAAGCAATATGGTGGGGGAAGTTGAAAGTGTGTATTATGGTTTAAATGTGTCTCCTAAATGGCAGGTGGTAGAAATAATGCAGAAGTGTTGAGAGGTGAGATGCTTAAGAGAATCTTAATTAATCTGGATTAATGTTGTTGTTCTGGAGTGAGTTGTTTATCTTAGGGGGAGGATGCTGAAAAAGGTGAGCTCAGTCCTCTCTTGCTGTCTCATTCTATACAGATTATCTTCAGATGTCAGTGCCATGTTCCTGGGTGTGGGAACCTATCCATGAACTGTGAGTGAACTGAAACAATGTTTAAGCCATTAGGCAGAAAATCCTGGTATGGAGAACTCCCAGCAGCAACACTGCTGGTTTGAGAATGCTTGGTCCGAGGATGCTTGGTCCATGCAGCTTCCTACCCAGCTCCATCACAAGTTCAGCACAGCATTGGAGATGGGGTTACCTACTGGAGCCACACAGCCTCTAGGAGATAGGTGTGGTTGCCAAAATGCCAATCAACCTGTTTACTGCAAGGCCCCTGCCACATAGAGAAGCAAGACCTTCTCCTTCTGAAACATTCTCTCTGCCTTTGATGTACACCACTTAAATAAAGAATTGAGACCCTTTTTCAATTGTTCAGTTTCAGCTCCTATCAGGGCTGGAACACCTACAGATGCTCCACTTTTTACAACTAATTTCTGACTGTCTCTATTTCTTACTAATTGGTTTCAGACTTTTTTTTAATTTTATTTCTCAGGCAGCTCACACTTCCTGAGCAGGAACTTTCCCTGGCAGGATGCTGGACACCCCACAGTACTTGGGCTTCCCAGCTTCCAGAACCATGATAAAATTAGTCTCAGTTATTCTGTTAGAACAGCAGAAAATGGACCAAGGGAGAAACTGGAGAGGATGAGATTTCATAAAAAGATTGTAATTTCTGCTAAAATTTCAGTGAACCTAAAACTACTTTAAAAAATAAATAAATTTTCTTATTTTTCAAAACCATGGGAGACATTCAGCATCAGGAAGCTAGATGACCCAGAGCCATACAGATGGTGATGAGGTCTGCAAACAGATGGAGATACTAGGTGAGATTAAATGATCAAAACATTGTCAATGTAGCCTAATGTGGATTTTAAGCAAGATTACACATAGGTCAAAGAGAGGTGACTAGGGTTAGACTTCTTATGTATGATTTTGTAACTTTGAGAAAGCTACTTTAAATATACAGAATCATCTTTTTTTTTCCTGCCTTAAGTGGAACAATTTATAAATCAAGAAGTTTTGATAACACACCATAATGTATGAACTATTCACACAGCATCTATCAGATCAATAGTAATGTATAATATGCTTTTTAGTTTGTTTTTATGAGAGTATTAACCATGCTTGAATGTTTTAAGATAAATCTAGATATATCTAGAGTGAGATTTCTGGTAGAAACAAATTCTTACTTTCTACTTGCTACTTCTCAAAGTCCTGTTTTTAAAAGTTCTTTGGTAAAAGAGTAATAGAAATTAAAATCCAAAATATGTAAAATGATTCAAATGAAAAAAACATTTAAAACAATGGGGTTTTAGCTCAGTGCTCTAAATAAAACTTAGAAGAGTTTATTTTGTTTAAAAAGAAATAAAAGATTAAATATCATTTCAATTAAAACTGTTAGAAATAGAGATAAAATAGGTTTCCTCCATTAGAAAATATAATCAAAACTATTATATGTTCGCTAGTCTGTTTTCCATTACTGTGACAAATACCAAAATTTTATTTTGGACCACAGTTTTAATGTTTTAGGCCATGACTGAGTGGTCCTTTTGCTTTGGGCCTGTGGAGACCATGTGCTGGAGCAAACTGTTCAGTTCATTAAAAAAAAAAAAAAAGAAAAGGAGAGAAATTAAGAGATCAGTTTCCACAATCCTCTTTTAGAACTTGCCTCCCAATGACCTAAAACCTAGGTCACCTCTAAAAGTTTTAACCACCTTCCATTAGCACACTGCTGAAGACCAAGTCTTTAACAAATAAGCATGTGGAGAGCACTCCATATTCAAAATACAACAATACCTATGGTTTTATTGGTTGGATAAATATAAGAAAAAATATGAGAAAATGAATAAATTACTCTCAATTCTAATTACAAAAAATAATGGAGGAACAAATTTCAAATTTGACATAAATTTGACACAAAGAACACAAAAAAGATTTTTTTAAACATTTAGCAATTTTACCAACTCTAAAATTATAGGAATCTGGATTAAGTAAAATAAATTATAATCTGAATTATATGAATGATTCCCCAGGAAATTGGAAACTACCAAAATTTTAAATCTATTCCTTACTTTATATGTAAGATGTGTTTATGGAGGCAGCATGTAAGAAAGTCTTAGTTTTCTTGCAGTCTGTAATCTCTACATTTTAATGTAATATTTAGACCATTTACATTGATGTAACTATTGGTATGTTTAATTCAAACATCATCATTTTTTAAGAGTTCTGCATGTTCTTTATTATTTTCCTTTTTTATACTTATTTTGGATTATTTATGTCTCTTTTCCTTTTTATTTCCTTTGATCACCTATTAAACATAATTATTTATTTAAGTTTTGGGGGTGGGTTAAAATTCCACAATATGGTTACATTACTATTATTTTAATAATCATATTTTAAAGCAATTGAAATCAGAAAACTCATGTTTGCTCATGCACTTATTATTTCTGGTAATCTGTTTTCTGTTCATAAACTCATATTTCTAACTGGTATAATTTTCCATCCATATGAATGACTTCCTTTAACACCCTTTTTAATTGTCTTCAATCCTTTCATTAGTGCCTATAGTTATATGATATTTTTATGATGAGAACACTTATCTATGCTCTTATCAAGAGTCAAGTATATAATATTATTAACTATACAGTATTATTAACTATATTTATAGTACTATCATTATCATGCATGATAGCTATAGTTAATACTACACCAGAAATAACATAGATAACAGAAGACATTTTCCAGTCTAATATATTTTACAATTTTTAAAAATCATCACTGTTTCCTCTCCCTCTAGCCTGTGACAACCAACATTCTACTCTCTGCCCCAGCACTGTGGCTACTTTTGATTCTATATATAAATGATATTATGCAGTATTTGTCTTACTGTGTCTAGCCTACATCACTTAACATAATGTCTTCTAATTTCTCCCAAGTTGTCACAAATGATAAGACTCTTTATCTGAAGAAACAGAAAAAGAATTTACTGCCTTCATCTGAGACTAGCACTGAGAGACCCTTATAATGGAGGGGCAGATTTCTATAAAATTTTATGCGGGGCATACTAAGGCACACAACCCCAGCCCTATTTTATATTTTATTTAGAAACACTGTCTTAATGAGTTTGCTTAGTGCCTCACTTTTCCTGAGAATGGCTCTGAACCATATATTCTCTTGACTCAGCCTCCCAAGCCCCTGAATTTCAGGAGTGCACCACTGTGCCCCACTCTACAATTTACCAAGTTGTGTGGGTTCTACTTTTAATGTTACTATCTGTTAAACGTTCCATTTTTTATTTTACAAAATAAAATTACTGGATTAAAATTTACATATACAACTAAAATAAAATGAAGGTAAGTTTACATAGCACTTAAATATTTAAACCTAATAAAAAGAAGCATCATAAAAAGAAGTATAAAAATAAGATAAGGAACAACAAAGTAAGGAATAAGGACAAATACAAAAATTAAGTAACATCAGTGTAATGATTCCAAAAATTTATTCATTAAGTTAGTACATGTTTTGATAGACTTTCTACTACATGGGCGTTAGAACTTTCTAGTAATGATAAACAGACATTATAGAGTTTACATTACAGTAGGGAAACTATTAGTGGCACAAATGCATAGTTGATCCTTCAGTTGTATTTCCCAGGGATACTTTTGAGGGAAAGGAAGTTAGAATTCAAGTTTCACAAATGTTATGCTTCCTAAAAACACAGATTTGTGATAAAATATCCTGCCTTATAGTAGGCAACTCACTCATTTACTAGCTGATATGACTTTTCCTCCCCAGAGTTTCTTCATAGCATTTGTCATCTCTGAGTTTCTCAGAGTGTAGATGAAGGGGTTCAGCATGGGGGTTATGACTGTGTAAAACACACTCAATGACTTGTCAATGGGGAAAGTCTTGGCTGGTCGTACATACATGAAAATACAGGGGACAAAGAAGAGGACAACCACAGTGATGTGGGAGCCACAGGTGGAGAGAGCTTTCCGCCTCCCCTCCTGACTCAGGTTCTTCAGAGAGTGGAAGATGACCCCATAAGACACGAGTAAGAGCAGAAACACAGTTGTGCAGATGAGTCCACCATTGGCCATCACTAAGAGGCCAGTGACATAGGTGTCAACACAGACAAGTTTCAGTAAGGGGTACATGTCACATATGAAATGATCAATGACATTGGGGCCACAGAATGGGAGTCCATAAATAGTGCCCAACTGAATTACTGAGTGCAAAAAACCTCCAACCCAGGAAACTACCAGCAGTAAAACACATACCCACGGCCTCATGATAACCAAATAGTGCAGGGGCTTACAGATGGCCACATAGCGGTCATAGGCCATCACTAAGAGAAGAAAAACCTCTGCCCCAGCAAAAAAGTGTCCTGTAAAAAGCTGGGTCATACAAAACTCAAAGGATATGATGTTTTCCCTTAAGAATAAGTTTGAAATCATTTTGGGGGAAATAACTGTAGAATAAATGGCATCCATAAAAGATAAGCTAGCAAGAAAGAAGTACATTGGTGAGCCCAGGGTCTTACTGAAGGTTATGGTCATCACAATGAGCAGATTTCCCACCATCGTCAAGATGTAGAAAAGCAAGAACATAACAAAAAGTACTTTCTGCTCCTGTGGGTTCTGCGTGAGGCCCAAGAGGACAAAGTAAGTTACATTGTTCCTATGATCCATCTAGTCTTTTATGGGTGCTGATTTCAGATAATAAAGCAGTTCACCTACAAAACAATGAAAAATTATTACAAGTATTATAATCTCAATCTTAATCCATTCATTCTCTGAATTGTGTATAAGAAGCATCAACCTGTGTCAAGCTATCTACTGCACATATCAGGAATAGTGAAATAAGACAGCATTTTCTGCCCTAAGTGATTCCATACGCAGTGATGGGATCAGGATTTAAAGGTCAACATGATCATTGTCATAATAAGTGTCTTATGTATGTCATGCTATCAATTCACAGTGTTGGAATTCATAAATACACTGGATTGTGGGAAAACTTCTCACAGGAAACCATACTTTATGTGATTAAAGGAGATGTGAAACAACAAGAAGGAATGAAAAGTGAATTTCATGAGAAAATGCACCAAACATAAAGTTATAAGGTGTAATACCAAAGTATCACTTAAGGTCATTTTCATATTCAGAGTGGCAAAAATAAAATGTAAAACTACAGACCTAAAGTCAGTATATTCATTTATAGTTCTATGACTGTAAATCAACAACAATGACGGCTTTTCCTCCACTCTCCACTGATTTCTATTTCACTGAACCTCAATCAGAAGTTCCTTGCCATTCATATTTCTAGGAGTATTCTGCTCATGATGATGTGTGTGTTCTCTAGCACAAGTGAGGCTTTCTGTGCAGTTGTCTTTTTCTCTTTCAGATCCCTGACCAGAATCACCTTTTGATGCTCATAGTTGCATCCAGTCTCTTCATATAAGCTCTCTCTATCATGGATCACAACTCTTCTCCAACCATCTGCCTGTTACCCAATCCCAAAAATACTTCCACACTTTTAGGCATTTTGTGTAGCTGCACCCTAATTTCCAGTACCAAAATACATGTTCTTTTGTTAGAGTTTCGGTAATAAATTAGCAAACTACTTAATTTAAAGGACATCTGTTGTTTGAGAATTTATCATGCAATGAATTCAGAATCAAAATCCGTGCTGTATTACTTGCTTTGCAAGACATTGAGGAAAAGCAAAGACCCTTTCTCTTAGATTCATAGATACAAGTTTTGTGTTCATGTATCATTTCCCTACATCCAAATTTTCCCTTTTAATAGGACATCAATCCTATTAGATCAAGGACAACCCTAATGAACTTAATTTAACTTGTCAACTTCTGCAAGGATCCTACACACACACACACACACACACACACACACACACACACACAATTCATATTATGTAGTACTGGAGGTTAAGATCTCAACATATATTTGAGGAAAATGTAAGTATGGAGGAAAGGAACAAAAAATTAAAAAAAAAAAAAAACAGTTGTTTTTTCATGTGACACAATGTGTGACCAATAGCCATCACACTAGCATATATCCTACCAAGTTACTGAACCTTCCTTTTAGGGTCTTTGCTTGAACATTCTCCCTTTTCCGAACCTGCAAATCCTCAAAGAATGATGAAGTTTGTTGTCCTCACCACTGTCTCTCCCCTAATTTAAAAAGTTATCTGCAACTATTTACTTCACATCTCCAACTAGATGTCCATTTAGTATTTACAAAAGTGAATTTTTAATTTTTCATGATAAATCTATTCCTTCTGAGGTTTTCTTTATCTAATAAAATGATATTTCCTCCTAGATAACTTTATAGTCCCTATTCTGACATTCTGACACATAATGGACATCCATCTATTATTCCTTTCATGCTATTTATTCATACACTTAAGAAACTCTCTTGCCTTGTTCTAGGACCCTCCCTTTCTAATATATTATAAATCTGATAATTCTCATGGCAACCAAGTACATCCTTGATCTACTGCAAGAACCACTTTTCAGTTCTACCTGTTTTCATCTTGAAACCCAGGAAGCCAATTTCCGGAAGCAACACAAATTATATGTTTAATCTTATTAAGATCAAATCTCTCACTTGTCCAAATTCCTACAGGATTTTTATCACATGCTCAACCTATAATCATGGCTTCCCTGCCTTTAGATTACATGGTCCTGCTAACCACCTGAATTCATTTCTTAACAATTATTCATGCTCATCTGCTCAAGTCTTTCACTCAAATATTCATAATGATTTTCTACCACTGTATTTGCATCTGCTCTTTAGTAGATGCTAACTTCAGAGACTAGAGTGATTACCACAATCTCTAAAATAAAAGGAAATATTGAAAAAAGGAATGTTCTGCATTTATTCTTTTATTTATTTATTTTTATTCAACCAACTAGTGTGTACATAGCACCTACCTTCTGTAACATCAGCCAAATTAAGTAAACTTCCAGGCATCACAGAGTGTCACATTCTCATTAAAGCTGAGTCTGCACCAGGGTTATGTATTCAATGGATGGAGTTTTGATGATGACTGAGAAATCCTCTTGTCACCTCTACTATTCCAGATGAAGCACAAATCTTGAACATAGTTGCAGAATTAATTCCTTTAATTTTTAAATTTGTAGGTGACAACTCTCATTTACAAACTGACCAGGCATTATCTACCCACGGCAGTTTTCTCCAACATTTTAATTCTTACAACTTCAAGTGATACAATTTCCTATGTAATAAAAAATTCAAACAATTACAAAGTCTAGTTTTTACTATCAATTTTAAAACTCTTACTTTTGGAATCTTGTCTACAGTTTGAATGAGAATATTTTATTTCATTAGTAGATGAAAATTCCTTTTCACCCCAGGATACATGAGGGGAAAAAATTGGTCTTTTTTCTGTATATACACATTTAAAGCAATACATCTATGTCAGTTCATTGTCTTCAGAATCTTCTAACATTTGCAGAAAATTATTACCAGCAGCATAGATGAATTTCAAATGAATTCCATGTTGAAAATAGAAAAATTAAACATTTCCATTATAGCATAATTTCTCAAAAAGGCAAACAAATCACATGATCATGTAGGAAGATGGTAACTTACCTTTTTTACAAGGAACATTTCTCTTTCTTCCAGTAACTTTATTAATAAATACTGTTCATTTCTGTAGTGAGTCTCTGTTGGTGTTAGTATAGACAAATAGTTGTGCTATAGATTAGGAGACAACATTATTGCACTTCATGTAGATAATGCTTTAAGCTTACTGAAGCATCTTTTCAAATAATTACATTAGGCCCTTAATAAAGAACATTTTTTTTTAACCTGACAAGGATGAGGATCATTGTGGGTTTTAAACCATGAAACCATGTTAACCATGGAATCCTGCCCTGGAGTGGATCCAAGACTGAGTCCTCATTAATCATGTTCACTGGGAATTCCCACAAGTTTATATCTGTAAATATGCCAATAGATCAATCACATTACTATGGTCAAAAAGATACAACAACAACAATAAAAAGTTGCAGATACATGGTAAAGTTGGCAAAATGATAATTGACAAAAATAATATATCAGTTCAGTGAGTTTGTTTCACTGAAGATGAGTTTATCATTTATTTCCACACTTCTAGGCCAATTATTTTTCCATTTACCTAATACTCAATTTTCTTTCACATTTTGTTTGGGATTTGGGATATTTTTTCAAGAGTTATGATGTAGTTATATTAACTAATTATTTATCCTTTTGTTCATTAGTGTTTTGAAAAATATTAGAACATTTATTTATTTCTTATTTTATGCTGTTAAATGGAGAAATAATATTTAATGAAACAGAAAATGAGATTATAGATATACTGCATCAGATTTATATTTTAAAACATAGTCACAAAATAATAATGGGAACAACTAAGCATAGTAGATGGAAAAGAGAAAAGTCTAAGGCATGACAAGAACAAACCCTCAGGGCATTACAGATCTTACTCAGGAATTTGAAACTGTTAAGGTTCTTTTAAATGAGAATAAGGAGGATTTCCACTTTCAGTTTCCAAAAAATTTCAACAAACTATTAGCAATTCAATTTGATAATGTAAAAACAATCACACAAAGGACCAACTGATATATAGCCTAGATACATAAGGCTGCTTTAGAATTCAAATATCAATTAATGAAATGAATTAAACCAAAGGATAAAGATGAAAATTTACATTGTTATATCAACAGATTCAGTTAAAGCATTTTAAAAATTTAATACTCATCTCTTTTTTAAAAAGAACTATCAGTAAATGATAAATAGAAGAAAATTTCCTAAAATTAAAAAAAAGTTATCTACAAAGCAGCCTATAACTGATACCATCCTCAGCAGAGAGAAAACAGAAGTCTTTCTTGTAAGACAGAAACAGGCAAGGATTCTTCCTCTCACCACTGCTTTTCAACATTGTACTGACAGTGTCTGCAAATATAATTAGGCACCATATAGAAAGAAATGCAGAGTTATGAAACAAATTGTAATATGTTTTCAAATAACATGATAATCTGTGAAGACTATCCAAAAAACAAAAGTCTACAAAAATCTGGAATATGTGATTACAGAAAAGCTGTAGGATACAAGGTTAATTTGCAAATGGCATTCACTTTCCTATATACAAGCCACAAACAAGTGGATAATGAATTTAAATACACAATACCATTTACTCCAATACTTCCAAAAATGGAATACTTAAGCATATATCTAACAAAATATATTACCTATACAAGGAAAATATCAAAGTTTGGATGAACAAAGTAACAAGTTAATGCAGAGTTACTAACAGTTCACGGAGAGTTAAGACTCAAAAAGCATTGCCAAGGGATCAAAGATGGAGGACCACAGAGAGGCAGCATTACGTGTCACTCTGTGACCTGAAACTCAAGTAGTGAGAATACTGCTTCTCTGTGAGCAATATTCCTGTTCCCACTCAGGAATCACAACCACCATACCTGTGCAAGGCTCCCAGCCTCTGCATCCAAGTAGGTCTCTCAACTACTCACCTATGCAGGACTACAGGATACCTGAGAGGGATCATCGACATCAGCACCCATGCAGAACTTTCAGCCACCCACCCCAGCAGAAACCCTGGACAGAGCTTCCACGCAGGACACCCAGCAGCTACCCATGTGCCGGATTTTCAGCTGCCAATCCCATGTCGACATCTACCTACCAATGTGGGGCTCTCCCCAGTCACTTCCATCTTGAGACTCTGGCAATGTATATAGTCACTTATGCAGGGTATCCTGCCTGCAACTGGGAACTTCACACAGGCTCTAAAGACAGCCAGCAGCCACACACTGCACACCACAGAGCTTGTCTCTGAGCTAAGTGTCCAACACCATCACTCAGCTAACTCACCAGAACAAACACCCCATCAATAAAAACAACTGCCTCCATCTTGGGTCACTTTCATCATCATCTTTAGTAGGAGCAACTCCCAGTTTGGAACTCTGGTGGCCAGGTACCCAGTTTCTAACTCCTCCTCTCCCCAGCAGATGCTAACATGGCACAGTGACTGCCTAACACAAAACAATTATCAGTGGGGCAAGAGTGCAGCACCCACAAAGTGCCACACACAAGAGCCCCAGAGAAAAGGGTCCCTCATTAGAAGGCAGTAAGGGAGAGGGGGAGTTTGAAGCAGTTTAGAGACTAACACAGAGACCAGGAACTGGGAGGTCTTCAGGTGAGATAAGGAGATGAGACCAGGCACTCACATACCAGTAGCAGGCCCAAGAAGAGAACCTTGTGGTGCAGGCTCCCTTAGGGGACCAGCAGGTGCCACATCCCACTTCCGTATGCCCTCCACCAAGGACCAACCCTCCCTCACTGGTTACCTTCCCCATCCTGAGGGCAGAGATACCAGCTAACAACAGATGACCCCAACTATTGGAGGAGAAGGGAAGTAGAAAAGATACTGATATCCAACAAAAACAATCCTTGCTTCTTCCTTCAAGATTTTTTTTTCTTCTCCCTCTCTATTTTCCTTCCCTCACATCCCCAACATATGTGAAACCAAGAACGTTGCACGAATTAGGATATTGAGGACAGGGATGATTGAATGCTATATTACAGTTGTGTTGTATATGCTTTTATCACTCCAATTTTTACTATTTTAACATTTTAAAATTTTTCTTAATATATATGTGTGTTTGTTTTATATACTCTACTGTCTTCTTACATACTTGTCTACCCAAAATTACCTCCTCATTATTCTCATGCTACTAACCTTATTCTTTAGATTTCTCTTTCAGACTTCCTAAGATATAATAATTCTATATCCTCACCTCCTACTTCCTCACCATATCTTCCCACACCTAACCCCCAGTTCTTTGTCCACCATCAGAAACTGTAAACCCTTTTACAAACCTATTGATTATATTATAGATAATGATTGAATTCACTATATCTGTATATTGCAACCAAACTGTAAATGTCTTAATTGCAACTATTTGATTTTAGGTTGTAAATTGTTTATATTAGGATCTGTTAACATTGTCTTTCCCCTCAAAGGAGAGGTATTGCAACCCTACAGGAGCCTACAGAGTAAACAGGTAAAGCCTTGGATCCACAGAGCTAGAAAGGCCGAGCTACAAGACAAAGTAGCAACATGAAAAGACAAGGGAAGAAAGTGCCCCAAACAAATCAAGAGGCCATG